AATATATATATATATATATATATATGTGTGTGTGTGTGTGTGTGTGTGTGTGTATATATATATATATATATATATATATATATATATATACAGTATATATATTGTGCACAAATTGCTGCAAATTGCAGAAATTATATAAATATATAATTGTATGCTCGTACTTGGGGTTTGGTATTTAAACAAACTCCTAAACCTTAACAAGGTAAAAATCATAGAGACTTAGATTGAGGGAGGAACCCAAGACATATATCTACTGACCAGAATATTATAAATCAAAAGTAGGCAACTCTCACTCTCCAACCCTAATCAAACACACCTGAACAAGCTAATCAAGGTCTTTAGAATTACTTCAGGCTACAACTGCTGCTAAACTCTGCAGGAAAGTAGATCTCAAGGGCCAGAGATGGCCAGCTCTTTTATATAGACTTGTGGGTTGGGGGTCTTTTGACTTGGTCCACCTTTGCATCGATGTCTTGTCTCTGAAAATGAAAAGTAGGCTACATGACACTTGCTAGGATTGTGTAAAACTATGACATTGATACTGACAGGTACATTTGTATTTCTGTATATCAGGCTCTGGAGAAGTACTGCAGGGTGGACGGGGGTTACAGCGGAGTGAGAGACGTCTACGCTAACACTCCCAACCATGATGACGTGCAGCAGAGCTTCTACCTGGCTGAAACACTCGGAGAAAAAAAAATAAAATAAATATATATATATATATATATATATATATATATATAGTGTGAGTGTGTATAAATCCGTTTTTATTTATTTATTTTTGTGACACTATATTCATTACAGTTGTACATAATTACGTTTTAAATTACGTTGGCATTGCGGTAATATTATTTTTAGGAAGCTGGGACAAGATGTGTATTACCTTTTAATAATGGCTGGAATCTAGCCATTTTGATGCCGGATAAACAGTCTTAGACATAAATTGAGTCACATAAAATAGATTTATTATTGTAATTTGTAAAATGTTGTATATTAATGAGAAGCATCAGTATATTTATGAGAGTCATCAGTCAGAATAATGAGGGGGGGAAAAGTAGATACATTGTTTTACAAAAGTAAAAATACATATAAATGATTAATTAAAAATAACATAAAAATAATGTTACAGTGCAAAACAACATATGATTAATGGTCTTCATTTTCTTTTTGCAAAATATATTTCTTTTGATTTTGGGCTGAAATAAGCTTGTAAACACATCTTTATATCCCAGATCACAGAGATTGAGTCAGATCAGCCAGCCAGTCAGATTGGAGCTTGCGATTTTCACAAACTTCTTGCCCATTGGTTTGCAATATGTTGTGAGAGACTGAGACTAACTTGTGATTCTGCAATGACTGACTAAAGGAGAGGAAAGCTCTTCACTTAGAATGCATGAATTGAGCCAATTCTCTGTCGGAGCGAGAATTGTCACTGTCAAGGTGAAGTGATTGAGACACAAGACTGTGACAGCTGGAACTCATTTACAGGGGTCCTTATCACACAACATCCATCATTAAAGACACAGATAAATGAAAGGAATGAATAAAGAAAGAGTCAATCACTTCATCAGGGCACAAAATGAAGAGCTGCAGAGTTAGCGAGGTCACTATGCTGTTCTGTATCCTTTTTTTTGGGGGGGGGGTCTCTTCCCAGCTCTCCAGTCCTCCCATTTGATTGCGTTTTAAGGGGAAATCACTCTTCGAGTCTCATCCTGCTACGCCAGACAGCAGCTCTCCATTTCTGCTGCCTTTAATACTCTGGAGGAGCGCTTGCCCTTTGGCCAGGAGGAGTGCAGCGCACACAATTGAGCACAGAAAAGACTTAGCAATACTTTGAGAGAGAGAGAGTGCATTCAGAAACCCCTGCTTTCAACTTTTCTCACTCTGGTTGTTTCTCATTCTGTTGTTGCTTCTGGCTTGCTTTCGCCCCTTTTGCACAGTAAGTGCGTATTAAGTAATGATTCTTCCTCAGAGCCAGACTGTCTGGCGGGCTGAGGGATCAGAGTTTCCTGTTCATAGAAATGCTCTCAGTGTGTTTGTGGGCATGACTGTGCTCTTTAACATGCTCACTTCAGCCCACTACATCTGCTCTGCACCACATGCTGAGCCACTAAAGGGATAGTTCATGAAAAGAAAAGAAAAAAAAAAGAAATTCGGTCATCATTTACTTACCCTCATGCATTCCAAACCTGTATGACTTACCTTCTTTTCCACAGAAGAAAGTATTTTAAAAAAATCATTTTTTTTTTTTCATGCAATGAGTAAATGGTGCCCAAAACAAGTTGCCGATAGCTGATATTTGTTTTTTGTTTTTTTCCGGCCAGTGATTTTTTATTTTTTTTCTGTTTAACTGATATGTCGGAAGCAGGACCTTTATTTTAACTGCTCTTAGGACGCCAACACCTGAGTGCACAGAGCTCCCCTTTTCCGTCTTCATTAGTTTATTGTCTCTGTATAACACTTTTCTGACTAAAAATTTTTACACAGAACTTTTAAACAGAGTAATTAGTAAAGGGTATATGAAAAAATAGTATAGCGTATTATTAGTAACACAAAGGCAAATGCTATAATACTTTCTCATCCACAGTCAGCATTCAGCTAATATACGTTTCATTTCAACAAATCTTTGAATATCTAATAAAAATTTAATTTCTCCGCTCTCTTTAACGGTCAGTCCATGTGAATTAGAAGCGGGCAAACATGGACTTTAATAGAATTACAGAATCAAGAAATTGCCATCTAAATAAATCTCTTTATTTTACAGATTTATTTTGTCAAGTTGAAATTTTTTTTTTTCATAATTAAGCCTTTTCAAATTAAATAATTTAGTAAATATTATGTACAATAATTTAATTTCAATCAATCATTTATAGGGCATGTAAAAAAACTCTAAAAGCATACCAAAGTGCTGTACAAAAATGTAAACACATTAAAGGGGTCATATGACGTTGCTAAAAAGAACATTATTTTGTGTATTTGGTGTAATGCAATGTGTTTATGTGGTTTAAGGTTCAAAAAACACATTATTTTCCACATACTGTACATTATGGTTTCTCCTCTATGCCCCACCTTTCTGAAACGCGTCGATTTTTACAAA